GTATAGTCCCCTTTTCTGTATATCCCCATTGTATAAGGGGCTTCCTGCACTTTACCACACCTGTACACGTATTGGCCCTTGGCCCCCTGTGAAAGTTAGTTGCTCATTATCCACCAAATCTCACTTGTTGAATTAAAAATGCAGAATGTAGCCTTCAAAGTGCTCTGCAAGATACCTACACTGTCCTATACGCAATTTCATTTCTTAGTTTCTACCTCGAGGACATAAACTATAGCGACTTTATGAAGTGCTTCTCTCTTGTAAAGTTATCTTCAAAGACTGCAACATTTCAACTTTAGCTAATACTTCAGTTTTCAATCTTATAACTGGCATGTGAAAAATCTGGCCATGACTTACAGGTCTGCCCATTTTTTTGTTGACCTAGCTTTGTTATGATCTCTTTATGTTCAGCCATAACTTTATGCAAGAAATGATCATACCAAATTTTCCTGGTACAATCACATGCAATCTGGTAATATCAAGAACCATTTGCCACTAGTTACTATATAAATTCTAACTGATCAAACTAGAACATAGAAACTGGAAAATTGTACTCTTACGTTAAATAGCAGTTTTCAAATTAGAAGTGGTTCTCAAGTGTCAACCCGTTCTGTATTTATCTCTCTACATAATTTGGGTCAGCGCACTGTTAGTCTAATATTGCCACATTTGTTTTCCTCACAGAAAATGTATCTTTTTAACCACTTGTTTTAAGAAGCCATATAGACCGGGTTTGCCATCTTATACCACAAATATGTTAACATAGAGTTCACTTCTGTATCCTGATGTATCCAAGTTGCATTATTGCACGATAGAGCTGGAGGTACTACTGGGACAAAGACCGCTCATCCTTACGACAATGGAAATTTCCACCACACACAACTTGCATTATTTTGTGCTCCAATTTTGTTCCTTGACATGACAAGTGATGAGGACCTTTAGTTTGCTCAAATTTTCTTGGCAAGTATTTAAGAACAACTCCCAACGATAGAATAAAAAGAAGGCAGAGAAGCTTGTACAAGCAGCCTCATGAACCATGATGGACAGAATGACATGAGATAATTGTAAAGCCAGACAAGTACTCCCTCCGTCCCAAAATAAGTGCCTTTGATTTAGTACAAAGTTGTACTAAATCAAAGATACTTATTTCGGGACGGAGGGAGTACCAGGCATCGTAGCATGTACCTCAGATATTCTACTGAGACACAGACATGCATGTTCCACGGCGAGATAGATCAGCATGCCAGCGGGTATGCCTTCCAGAATGATTGATCTTGCACAAGACTCCATAAAGCGTAGCCACCAAGAGGCTCTTCACCGAGAACCACATGTGCAGTCCATCTGTGGCAGTTCATCAAACACAAATCAAGTCATTCCACAGATGCATTCCTTCTCAAATGCCAGCTTATGGCCTTACGCCAACAGCCTCCTCTAAAATATATTTCATCCATCAGAATCATGACATGGTGCACCGTCCTCAGGCAATGCAACTAAATCATTATAAAAAGAACTAGCTTAGTCTCCTTATGTAATTATGGAATAACATACAGCGGTTGGTATGAATGATTGAAGCTCGCTAGTCAGACAGATGGTAAATGTTCCTACATTTCAAACTCCAACATGGGTGTGGGTGATGTTTACTAATTTGGGTCCACACACTAATATTTGCCACACATATTATTTGTTTTCCTCACAGAAAATGTATCTTTTTAACCACTTATTTCTAGAAGCCATATATACCGGGTTTGACATCTTATTTAAGTAGCACAAATATGCAAGCACAGAATTCATTTTATGTATCCTGATGAATACAAGTTGCATTGTAGCATAACAGAACTGGAAGTTCTAATGGGCCAAAGACCAGCTCATCCTTTCCTACGACAATAGAAATTTCAACCACACGCATGTTACATTATTTTGTGCTCCAGTTTTGTCCCTTGCCATTTCAAATAATGAGGACCTTCAACTATGTTTTGTTGGAATTTTCTTGGTAAATATTTAAGAAATCCCAACGTCACAATAAATATAACATGTTCAAGCAGCATGATGAACCATGATGGACAGAATGACTTGAGAACCCTCTAAGGCCAGACAAGTACCAGGCGTCGCAACATGTACCTCGGGTATTCTACTGAATGCAGCTGTGCACAATCCACCATAGGATAGACCAGCAAGCCATCGGATTACCATCTGCAGATCCAGAATGATTGATCTTGCACAAGACTCCATAAAGCATATAGCCTCCAAGAGGCACTTCACGGAGAACCACATGTGCAGTCCATCCGGGCAGTTCGTTAAACACAAACCAAGTCAGTCCCCAGATGCGTTCTGTCTCAAATGCCAGCCTATGCCAAGCTTTACGCCAACAGCCTCCTATACAATATATTTCAGTCGTCAGCATCATAACATGTTGCACTGTCCTCTGGCAAGGCAACTAAATCACTATACAAAGAACTAGCTTAGTCTCCTTATGTAATTATGGAATCATATACGGCAGTTGATATGAATGATTGAAGCTCGTTAGTCATAGAGAAGATAAGTGTGCCTACATTTCTAACTCCAACTTGGGTATAGGTGATGTTTATGTATTGGCATACAGCTAATGCAAGGAAGCTGCATGGAATGAGCATCTCCCACTCCCAGAGCTCAACGAAATGTAGGCAAGTCTTGTCTTGGTCACATAAACAAAGCATTGTCCTGTACACGCAACCGCACTCTGCATATGGCATGACAAGACTAATGACTATTGACTATTCATCATCAGTTCGGTGATTAGGCTAATGGTGATACAAAGCAATATTTTAAGGCAGTTTTACATTTGCTCCAATAAACTCTCTCAGAATGAAACAAGTATGCGAGTATATGCAGGAAAGAAAAGTTACCTGGATGTAAATAAACTGCAGCATGGTCAGCTGAAACCTGGTGGGTGAAAATTCACTACTTCCAGTCCACAACTGACAAATGCTTGTTCAGTTGCATACAAGCCTGGGGGAGATAATGGGATAAACCTCTAAACAAAACTAATTGATGGATTCATGCCACAGTTAACAGATAGTGAAGCAGTGCAATTTGCTTATTCCCCGCTATCGAGCTTCTTCATTGGTCTCTATGATACCGCACGGTGCTTCATGGCCTTATGTAGCAATTGCAGCCATTCTGCTCAGTTTCTGCTGGTGGGTTCACACCAGTGACCTTATTTACGGCGGAGATGGAACTGCGGCGTCATCCTAGCAGCATCCCTTCCAAACATGGTGAGTCTTCCCTCACATATGCTCCAGAAATGCCAGCTTGTGCCAAGCATTACGCCAACAGCCTCCTGCATGACATATTTCAATCATCAGCATCATGACATGTTGCACTGGCCTCATGCAACACAAGTAAGCTATAATAGAAAGAATTATTTAGTCTCCTTATGTAACCATGGAATATCATACTGCAGTTGATTTGAATGATTGAAGCTTGCCTAGTAAGAGAGAAGACGATGAAGGTTCCAACATAGTTAACTCCAAATTGGCATAGTTAATGGTTATGTATTGGCTTACAGCTAATGCAAGGTAGCTACATGGAATAAGCATCTCCCAGAGCTCAAGTATTAGAAAATTATATACTTCCTCTGTTCGGAATTAGTTGTCGCTCAAACTGATGTATCTAGACGAAAGATTCATTGATGCCCGTTAAGTTGTCATATAAGCTTGGGAAAGACAAGGGAACAAATATTTAAACAAGACAACTCGACTCGATGTAGTCATGGCATGATTAGCAGACAGGTAGATTCCGGGGAACCATCATGCCAAGCCAAAGCATGGGGATGCCATACAGACGCACACGGCTATATAACTAAGAGCTTAACAGACCACAACTTCACACCGCCGCCTCAAGGCGTCTTCTTCGTGTTCCAGTTCCACCACCAATTAGCCAAATGTCGTCCAACAACCAAGTAGCATCCCACAATCCAGAGCAACCAGATAAGCAAAGTCCGGCCAACCCGCCCGGCAGCAACAAGCCTTCAACAGAGTACCAGCTGAAGACACAGCTTCTACTGCTGGCCACTCTGGTTGCGACCGTGACGTATGCAGCGGGGCTCAACCTGCCAGGGGGAGTCTGGCAGGACACACAGGATGGACACTTCGCAGGCGATCCGATCCTTCCAGACACGCACTACCACCGGTACCTTGCGTTCTACTACTGCAACGCGACTGCATTCGCGGCATCACTTGTGGCCTGCCTCCTTCTCCTTGTTCTTGATGAGGCGAAGGACAACAGTGTCTGGGCAACTGTGCTGCGGGCGGTCATGGTGCTCGATTTACTTGGCCTCATGGGAGCTTATGCTGCTGGAAGCTGCCGGGATGATTTTACAACCATCTACTCCTCAGTGTTAGTCTCTTCCGTCTTCGCCTACATCATATATGTCTTTGTAACCTATGCCTTCCGGTGGGCGTTCCCCAAGAGTAGAGAAGGCAAGGCTCCTGAGAAGCAAGACAAGGATCCTGAGAAGCAAGACAAGGACCCTGAGAAGCAAAACAAGGATCCTGATGTAAACAAGCGTGAAGAGGAGCACGAGGTATTGATGCTACTAGCAACCTTTGCGGTTACCATCACATACGTGGCTGGACTGGGCCCACCTGGTGGATTCTGGGGCAACAGCCAGGACGGCCACCGTGTGAGCGACCCAATTATGCAGGACCACAACTCCAGCCGGTATCAGGCATTCTTCGTGTGCAATAGCACTGCATTTGTTGCGTCCTTGCTCATCATTGTGCTGCTCCTGGACAAGAAGCTGAGCCAGAGAATCTCTAAAAGGTTTGTTGCACTGTATGGGTTCATCGCGGTGGCGCTCATTGGCCTTGTGGGGGCCTATGCTGCAGGAAGCTGCAGGGAAGCTGATAATACCATCTATGTAGTTTTTCTGGCTGGTGCGGTTCTTGCATATATATTTCTACAGATGGCTATCACTGAAGCCATGAACAAGACGAACAAGAAGGATCGTGTCTCAGACACTGTGGCCCGGGCTCTCGTGGACAAGAAGGATAGTTGGGACCATAAAGTACTCACATCCATACGTGATCGTACTTCAGAATGGCTGAAGCAAATAAAAGACTGGTTTCATACAGCTTTTAGCACTAGCAGGTATGCAATCACGTATTATTCTTCCTTTGAAATTACCATTGGTCCATATAATCCAATACCAGGATGAAATTTTAACTCTGTATATCTATGCAACTACCAGGGACAGAGGATCTGACAAAGTATTGGAAAAGAATCGCTCTCTTGTCATGTTGCTTGCTACTCTTGTGGTGAGCATCACTTACCAGGCAGGACTAGATCCACCAGGTGGCCTATGGCCAGATGACCAGGAAGAGCATAAGGGCGGTGACCCAGTACTCCTCACAACTCATCCTACTCGGTACAAGGTGTTCTTCTATAGCAACTCAGCCGCCTTTGTGACATCCCTAGTCGTCATCATAATGGTTCAAAGTAGATTTCTACTTCAGCGCCATACATTGCACGCAGCCATGCTACTGGATTTGTTTGGCCTCATAATTGCATACGCTGCAGGGAGCAATAGGGATTCAAGCACCTCCATCTATGTTGTCGCCTTGGCAGGTGTTGTCCTTGTGTATGTGGTGATTCATATAGTATTCTTCACATTAGAAGAGCACACGGACAAAAACCAAGATCCCGATAAGTTGGATAATAGGCGCGAGATGTTGCTGCTGCTTGCAATCTTGGCTGCAACACTCACTTACCAAGCTGGGCTGACCCCACCAGGTGGCTTCTGGTCAGCAGATGACAAGTTTGGTCATCATGCTGGATTTCCAGTCCTCCTTGATAACTATCCTCGTCGTTACAATGCATTCTTCTACTGCAATGCAGCAAGCTTCATGGCATCTGTAACTCTCATAGTTCTTCTTGTGAACCCCACCCTATACAAGCCGGGCATACGGTGTTATGCACTCTATGTGTGCATGGTGATGGGCATGTTTGGCCTCATGGGTGCATATGCTGCTGGAAGCTCCCGACATGTACGAACCTCCATCTATGTGTTAACTTTAGTGGCTGCAGTGTTCGCCTTCGTCACCTTTCAGGTGCTCATTTTCTGGATACAAAACTGGAGGAAAGGGCAGCCTAAAGAGGAAGGCTCGGACTTAAATGCCATGGGAGTGCCAACCCCTGCTGCAGCTACTAGTCAAGTTTCACCATTCCATGTTCGTGGTGCGCAGCCTACCCCCCCTGATCCTGTAGATGGGTCCTCTGGGCAAGAAGGTATCACCAGTGAGTCTTCTGAACCAGTTGCTGGTGACATGGGGACGGAAGAAAAGGGAACAGAAGATAAGGTAACAGAAGATAAGGGAACAGAAGAAAAGGACCTTCGTGAATACTTGATGCTGCTAGGAGTCCTGGCTGCGAGTGTAACATACCAGTCTGGTTTGAAACCACCAGGTGGCCTCTGGCAGGACAACAACAATGGACATACTGCTGGCAACTCAATCCTCCATGACATCGCCAAAGGCCGGTACCGTGCGTTCTTCTATAGCAACTCCACTTCGTTTATGGCTTCTATTGTCGTCATTGTCTTGCTACTTCCAGTAAACAAGCACAAGTTCCCACTGTGGCCAATGCATACTGCCATTTTGCTAGACATGCTAGGCCTCCTTGGAGCCTACGCAGCAGGCAGTACCAAGGAGTGGGAGATGTCCAGGAATGTCATTGCTCTGGTCGTTCCTGTGCTGGCCTATATTGCAGCCTATGCGGCAGTGTCATTCTTCAGCAAGAAGGGCAGTGTGCCAACGGAAATTCTGCATGAACAATCGCAATGATGAAGAAAGCTTAGGTGTGACGTGATCCTTTATCTGGTTTTTAATTTATTGAACTGCAAGTGCTATGTGTATTTCAACATATTCAGTTTATTGTCCACGTGTACTTTTCATATGATATACAACACAGATATCTATAAATTATTGAGTATTTTGTATTTTTTATTTTTGTATAATCAAGGTAAAATGGTATACTTTCTAGTTTTAGAATTGCCAGCCATTTGTGTATGACACTATGACTATGTAGTATTGAGATATTGTCAAACAACAAATTTGACAAATAAAAGTTGCTAGTGTGGAGCTTTAGTTTCGAGCTGTTATGGCCTTCTGTGGCAATTGCTAGCATTCAGCTCACTGGCAGGCAGCATTACTTGCCTATCATTGTCTGTTTCATTGGTGTAAATAAAGTATTGTTTCTTTGTTCAATATAACTCATCGTGGCCCTCCTGTCCCCTACAGATTGATAAAAAAATTAAAGTTCATCTCTTAGTTGGACAACATAATCACTCATCAAACATCATATCTTGAATTCAGAGGACTTCACCTAATTCAATGGAAAGGAATTGAAAAATATGGTATAAAGGGATCCTTGAAGAATGAAATTAAGAACTGGCACTTAGTTGAACTGACCTGATGAAATAGAATTACAGGAGGCAGCTTCTAGTGACTCTGCAATCTATAATTTGCAAACATATTATATTTTTCTAGTACTGTAGTGTTAATCTTACAAGAGATATAATGCGCAGACCTGTTTAATCATTCTACCGTTCTTTTAACTGATCTGGCCTTGATTTACTCATGTCCATTTGCAGTTGAGATACGCTTGTAGTCTTCATATGAATCATATGGTATATGATAAGCCAATAACGATGGTGTAATTGATCGTTATGAGAAATATAAAGGCTAAACTGCCACCTATCATGATTAGTTCTTAACCTCTGTCCATTCTTCAATGCTGGCATACAGTAAGTGATAAGAACTGCTGAACTCAGCCAGTTTAAATTTTATTGTAGCTTCTGTCATTTCACAAATATTTAAATGTGCTTAGCTTCTACACAAAATACCCAGAATGTGCGTGCTCAAGCAGTTTGAAGATGGGGAATATTAACAAGACAGTACAAACAATAACCACTAACACGGAACATACCTGAAACGCGAACAGATGTCTGTCAGGCATCGCACTGAACACGGGTCGCAGCCCTCAGTTATCCATGATTGACACCCAAACCACAGGATTCCTTCTGATCGTCGTCGATGCAGACTCGCGGAGGAAATTCGCGGCACGTCGAACGTGCTGTCCCGTTTGGCCAATCTGTCGAACACCTCCCGTGCGCCCGGCCCGCGCAGGCATTTCAGGACGGCAAGCAGACGCCACAAAAGCCGTGCAACAAAATAAGAATCCATGGAGCGTGAGGCCGTTATGGTCGCATCAGCGCGCATTGCCGTAGAAGCCGATGGTCGGATCCGGTGGATGCATGGCGTTAATGTGGTGGAGACGCCGAGATTCGGCGAAATGATTCGGAAATGGCGCGAGGGGATACGGGGACTGCTTCGGAAAGAGTGTGGCTAGGATCTAGGATCAGCACTCCACGCCTCCACAGTAGACCACAGCAACGAGAAAGAGGGACAAGGAGGAAGATGGTGGCAGGCGTAACAGAGGAGGTGGGAATCCGACGGCGAGCGCTAAGGGAATACTTTACGTTTTTTTTTACCTTTTAATGTTTATTTTTTATTTTCATTCTTATATTTCTGTATTTTCACTTTTTCGTTTTTCTATAACACATCAACATTTTCTAAAAATACAAAAACATTTTTAACAGCGTTAACATTTTTTAACACAGTATAGAGCAAGCGCTCATATACACGAGCACCTCACTTCTTTTTGCATAAAAATATTTAATATCACTAAAGAAATGTTTTATTTAAAATATTATTTTCTTTTCAGAAAAGAAATGGAAATTATTTCGAAATCTAATGATTAGAATAGTCGATGGGGATGACTCCTCCCACTGAATGCGCATCGCCGAAAATCCTGAAATAAATTCAAGAATAAATGCGAGACCAGGACTTGAATCCTGGTGGGTTGAGGATACCACAGTCCCTCTAACCATCCAACCACAGTTTGGTTCGCCACTGTTAACATTTTTATAGAAGTTAAAATAACATCAATAGTACTTTTTAATGCATGGATTTCTTTATATACAAATTTATTTTAAATACGTGAAAATTTTGTTTAACACTTTTAAATGAGAAATGTTTTTTTAATGTGAACATTTTACTCCTTAGGTTTATATGAAAAAATCTTAACTTTGTTAAATAAAAAGTAACTAAACCTACATATAGTGGCCATTGAGGCGATGTGCGCAGAGGCGTCGTGATAACGCTCTGTGCAACAAAATGACGGGATGACACACAGAGTGTCTGCTATGTTGGCCGAGTTCTATCGCTCGCGCTACTAGTTTCGGCGTGCTATGTAGCGGTTTTCTAGCGCTTTTTTTATTTTTCAAAAGTAAATATAATTTGTAAGATAGGACATTTTTTTAATGTGGACATTTAGAAGATATGAATAAATGTTCATTTTGTGTGAACATTTTCCAACTTATGTGCATATTTTAAAAAAAATTGACCAATCTGTAAAATTTCATGAATAGTTTTCAAATGTTATGGACATTTTAAAGTTATAATGTTTTCAAACATTTTTCAAATAAGAAAAAGAAAGACCACATTATAACCTACATAGCCATAAATGTAGTGTAATGCCGCCTGCCGCGTGAGGATTGATTTCAAAGTTTACATCAATACCACATGATTACTCAACATATTTGATCAAGCCGACAAGATTAGTCTATACCTAGATTTATTTTATTAACTAGCAAATGTGCCCGTGATAACCCACAAGTATAGGGGACCGCAATAGTTTTTGAGGATAGGGTATTCAACCAAATTTATTGATTCGACACAAGGGGAGCCAAAGAATATTCTCAAGTATTAGCAGTTGAATTGTCAATTCAACCACACATGAAAGACTTAATATCTGCAGCAAAATATTTAGTAGCAAAGTAGTATGGAAGTAACGATAACAGTGACGAAAGTAACAGTAGCAGTTTTGTAGCAATCGTAACAGTGACAATGGAAAAGTAACTAAGCAAAGATTAATATGAAACGAGCTCGTAGCCAATGGATCAATGATGGAGAATTATGTCGGGTGGCATTCATTATGCAACAGTTATATAACACAGGGTGACACTGAACAAGCTCCAAATCATCAATATAATGTAGGCATGTATTTCGAATATAGTCATATATGTTTATGGGAAAAAAACTTACATGACATCTTTTGTCCTACCCTCCCGTGGCAGTGGGGTCCTATTGGAAACTAAGGAATATTAAGGCCTCCTTTTAATAGAGTACCGGACCAAACCATTAACACTTAGTGAATACATGAACTTCTCAAACTACGATCATCATCAGAAAGTGTCCCGACTATTATCACTCCGGAGTTGCCGGATCATAACACGTAGTAGGTGACTATAACTTGCAAGATAAGATCAAGAACACAAATATATTCATGAAAAACATAATAGGTTCAGATCTGAAATCATGACACTCTGGCCCTAATGACAAGCATTAAGCATAGCAAAGTCATAACAACATCAATCTTAGAATATAATGGATACTAGGGATCAAATCTTAACAAAACTAACTCGATTACATGGTAAATCTCATCCAACTCATCACCGTCCAGCAAGCCTACGATGGGATTACTGATGCACGGCGGTGAGCATCATGAAATTGGTAATGGAGGATGGTTGATGATGACAATGGCGACGGATTCCCCTCTCCGGAGCCCAAACGGACTCCAGATCTGCCCTCCCGAGGAAGGACGGGGCTTGGCGGCGGCTCCGTATCGTAAAACGCAATGAATCCTTCTCTCTAATTTTTTCTCCCCGAACGTGAATATATGGAGTTGGAGTTGAGGTCGGTGGAGGTCCAGGGGCCCCACAAGGACAGAGGACGCGCCCTAGGGGGGTGGCGCCTCCCCCCACCCTTGTGGCCAGGGTGTGGGCCCCCTTTGGTTGATTCTTTCACCAATATTTTTTATTTATTCCAAAACTGATCTCCGTGAAGTTTCAGGTCATTCCGAGAACTTTTATTTCTGCATAAAAATAATACCATGGCAATTCTGTTGAAAACATCATCAGTCCGGGTTAGTTCCATTCAAATCATGCAAAGTAGAGTCCAAAAAAGGGCAAAAGAGTTTGAAAAAGTAAATATGCTAGAGACGTATCAACTCCCCCAAGCTTAACCCATTGCTTGTCCTCAAGCAATTCAGTTGACAAACTGAAAGTGATAAAGAAAAACTTTTACAAACTCTGTTTGATCTTGTTGTTGCAAATATGTAAAGCCAACATTCAAGTTTTCAACAAAGATTATGAACTAACCATATTCACAATAACATTTAGGTTTCACATTTACTCATATCAATGGCATAATCAGCTAGCGAGTAATAATAATAAATCTCGGATGACAACACTTTCTCAAAACAATCATGATAAGATATAACAAGATGGTATCTCGCTAGCCATTTCTGAGACCGCAAAACATAAATGCAGAGCACCCCTGAAGATCAAGGATCGACTAGACATTGTAATTCATGGAAAAAGAGATCCAGTCACAGTCATACTCAATATCAATTAATAAGAATGCATAAAAATGGCAGTGGTGCTCTCTAACTAGTGCTTTTTATAAGAGGATGGTGACTCGGCATAAAAGTAAATAGATAGGCCCTTCGCAGAGGGAAGCAGTGATTTGCAGAGGTACCAGAGCTCAAGTTTTTTAAACGGAGATAAATAATATTTTGAGCGGCATGCTTTCATTGTCAACATAACAACCAAGAGATCTCGGTATCTTCCATGCTACATACATTATAGGCAGTTCCCAAACATAATGGTAAAGTTTATATTCCCCCACCACCAACAAGCACACTCCACGACTGGTCCGAA